GAGTCAGTTCAAGGACGTCTCCAAGTCATGAATCAAGTCAATTTAGTAGCACTGTCTTATCATGAAGACATGGTAGGAGTGAGACTGTAGGAGTAATCTTTGCAGCTGCACTCTCTACCTTGTTAATTGGGGTTGGAGCCAGAGTCTCTGCAACTGTGGCCTTATCTTGAAGTATCTCTGTGGCCTTTGAAGTATCTCTGGCCTCACAGGCTACTATAGGCCTCAGCCAGGACCAGTGATTCATAGAGGTTCACTTACTATGAATCAGCTCCTGCCGCCAGGCAAGGGGCCGAGGCCTAGGACAGACTCACAGATAAACACAGAAAGCCAATTAGTAAAATTTAAACCCTTTTCAGAGCCGCTTCGTAGTGGTCTCCAACAACTGGACTCATGAGACATTATGATAACTCTCATGCTAATATGACTGCACAGCTGGGTCATAAGAAGAAAGGATCCGTCTCTGGAGGGGTCACAGAGGACACTGTCTCCTGCACTTGCAGAAAGGTGTGTGATGATTCTGCCAACAAAAGCCCGACACATACTTGGTACTCAAAAGCTTTAATTGGAACCCATAAACTTGCATTTATTTGTTCCCTCCATCTTCATAAATGACACTGACCTTCAGACTTACAGCAGACACCGGATGTCACCTTTAACATTTCCCTTTTCCCTCATTCCTTCAGCAAAGAGCTTCCACAGCTGACACTGCCGCCCTTAAAGAGTCAGCTTTTAAGGTGGTCCTTAGGCTGGCATTTACGAATACAACTGGCAAACATTTCCCTCTGCTGAAAACCAACATTTTAATTTTGAACACAGTGTAATTTAATACAAGAAGATGTCAGGCTATGCCATATGACAACTTATGCAACTTCAAAATTTCAGTGCTCTTATATAACAAAAGTTAACTTCTCACTTAAGTTACATGTCTTTCACAATTTGGTTAAAGTTGGGAGTTCAGAGGGAGGAGCATGTTTTTTGTTCATGGTGGCCACTCTGGAGCCCAGGCTGGCCGAGGCTCCAACATGTAGAACACTGTTCATTCTTGTGACAGAAAAAGAGGGCACTGTAGAAGTCTCCCGTAGCTCTTCATACTTCAGTCAAGAAGTATTACCAGCACAATTCATATAAGTGGGACTAAAATTTAGTGGGAAGTTTAGCAAACACCGTGATTTCTGCCACCACACTCAGATTAAAAAGTCAAATACAGGTCGTGGAAACACAGGTTTAGGAGTCATACCATATTGGTAGCATTTAAATCTACCGTGCTTTCTTATGATCTGAGACACAGTGGCATTTTTGAGAACATGTTAGTCGAAGGAGTGAGGAGTCCTTCAAACCCCATGCGGTTAACTAGCGGTGCACAGACGCCTTCGCTAACACACAGAATGAAACAATGCGTAAACTCATTCTAAGGCAGGGTTGGGGGTCTTGTATCTCAAAAAGCTTTCCTGAGCTCTCAAAGTAAGAGGGGCCACTAAAACTGTCCGAACTTGTGCATAATGAGAGATCCGGAACCGTGGATGAAAAACTGGGGTTCCACAGGTACCACTAGGTGTCACTAGTAGGCTACTGTAAGAAACTCCAAAGCATGAAAGGAGGAGGAAGAAAGGGAAGCAGATGTAAATTGGCTCCCAGAAATGAAGTACACTAAAAAGTTCTGGCCCCAGACAGAACTTTTTAGTGGCACTGCCCACACTGGATAGAACTGTTCTAGTGCTCACACGCATACAGAACAGTAAAACAGCAGTAGCAACCACGAGTTCTACTCTGAACTGAAAAGACTTCCAAATGGACTTTGAGATGCCCTAGCTGCTGCCTCCTGCACTGCCTGTGCACGGCTGGGGGCAGCTGGGAAAGGAGGCCAGGAGTTGTTCTAACCTCCCCCATAGTTTTGTGAACTTCATGTTATCACATGGCTATGCACATTAATACTCTCCGTAGGGGTAAAGGAAAGTTTGCCTGCCTCTCATTCTTCCAGTGCCTCTAGATACCTACGCAAAGGTTCAGTTTATTCAAAATTAGATTTAAGGCTGATGATTTAAAATGTGTTCTTTTGTTGATACGCAGATTATGCCAAAGCAAAACAGAACTTTTCACTGGAAACTGCAAAACTAGCTGGGCATTGGGGTACACTCCCATAATCTCAGCAATCAGAAGGATTGCTGAGATTTCAAGGTCAGCGTAGATTACACAGTGAAATCAAGGGACTCTTCTCAAAAACAAAACAAAAACAAGCCTGGCAAATCTTACTGAATCCTTTGATAATACAAACTAGTTACTTACTGCTAACATCCTCCTGTGTCAATAAAATAAATTAAAACTGATAATGGAAATTATAATAAAAATATATCTTATTATCACTTTGGTAAGTAATGTATCAAAATTAGATTTTTGGGGCTGGGGATTTAGCTCAGCGGCACAAGCATCTGCCTTGCAAGCAGGCGGTTGTGAGTTCAATCCCCGGTACCGATGAAAAAAAGAAAAAAAAATGTGAAAACTAGATTGTTCGTTCGCATTTCAGTCAGTGAAAACAGTCAAACAGGAAATTACCCTATATACGTATCTCTAAAAACATATCAAAGGAACAGAAGTGAAGAAACTAGTACTGGAGACCAATTCATTACTCTGAGCTTTTCAACTTTTTACATCTTAAGACTAATTTCAAAAGCGGCATTTACATAGCACAATGCTGTAAATGAAAAAGGCTCCGGGTTTTAGCTGCTGAGTCCTCCTTGTTCTTTAGCTGCTGAGGGATACCTACAATCTGAGATCACTACATCAGCATAAAAACTGTGGTCTTCAACAGTGGTTTCGCCCTGGAATCACTAGGAAGTTAAGCCTCAGGATATTCTTAAATGTATCTGTATGTGTCTGGACTGCACACTTTTTAAAACTCAGGTGAGTTGGGCATGGTGGTGCATTCATATAATCCCAGCACTTGGGAGTCTGAGGCAGGCAAATTGTTGCAAGTTCGAGACCAGCCTGTGCTACAAAAAGAGCCCAATGCCAGCCTGAACTGTATAGCAAGACTCTGTCTCAAAAAGAAAAAAATAAATAAAGTCAGGTGGCTTTAAGGCATGACCAAGGTTAAAAACACTGCATTAGGAGTATAGGAGACTTAAAACTTACAGGACACAGGTTTGATGTTTTTTTTTTTTTTTTTAATTCATGGAAGTACAAAGAAAAAATAAAGTTCAAAACTATAAAAGTGAAAACCAACCATCTTCCCCACAAAGCAATCACTTTCTTCCGACTTTAAGAAAAAGATTGTGTACATCAGTATCTCAAGAAACAATTCATTTACACCAAAGAATGCACACTGCACGGTATTCTATGCTGTGTGTTTTAAAGCTCACTACAATTAGGAATCAATCCTTTGAATACACAATACACAGGGCTCCTATGTCTGCACTGCGTTTTATTTAACCATTGCCTTGGGTTGACGATCAGTTTAGCTTTAGTTTGTTGCAATAAACATTCTCATCCATGGATTACACAGATCAAAAAAAGGTCTGCTAACATTTTTATAGGAGAAATAGTTTTTACATGCATCGAGCCAAATCTGCAAATCTTAGAGGGTACAGTATTTTATAGGGTAAAATAAAATTTTATACGATAAAAGTCTCCTAAGAGTGAGACGACTGGGCGCATTTAAGACTGGGTTGAACGTAGTGAGGTTCATAAACACCTAAAAAACTAAATTAATACCAATCACGTCAAGAAAGATTAAAGACTACTAGTGTGGGGTGCTGGCGCTGGAATGCGTCACCACTAGGTGGGGTCATCGACCAGCGGGGACGCCGAGGCAGCCCGGGGGCGGGCATTCGCCGCCACGCGGGCGGCCACGCCCCGCCCAGCGGAGGCCCCGCCTGCAGCCGTAGCTGAGACTGCGCAGCCGCAGCGCAGGCTGTGGAGGGCGGGGCTCCGGAAGGCGGAGCGAGGGTTTAAATCCTATCAGTGCTCGCCATGCACTGGGCGGGGCGAAGCGGGGCTGGGCGCGGGGTGGGGAGGGACGGGGGCGGGACGAGGCCAGGGTCAGTTTCTTCCGGTCAAGCCGAGAGCCTGGGTTTGGGTTTCCGGTGGCGGCTGCATCTTAGAGAACTCTGTCCTCCTGGGCCTCGGTTCAGCCTTGGTTAACGGTTAACCTCCGGGGCGGCTTCTACCCAGGCATGGGAGGGTCACTGAGCTTGTTCGCCGGGAGAACTGGGCCGCAGCCCGCACGCGCAGCCCTGCGACGGGCGGCTGGGTGTGTTTGAGGCGTGCCCGGCGCTGGTGCGCGCGGTGCTGATCTCCAGGGCCCTGCGTGGCCCGGCTACGGACTGTCTGGAGCGGGAGGCTCCTGGCGTTTAGTCGCCTAGGACAGACTGTCAGAGCTGGAGACACCAAGGAAGTGACAGCCAGCCTGACCTGAGGGTTTCTTACGGACAGGGCCTGCTCCACACCTTTGTGCTGCTTGAAAGCGTTGGTCCCTCGCCACGCCCTCGCAGGGAGACCAAACCTCCGGGGCGATTAAAAGGCAAACCGAGGTGCAGTTTACCAGTGGTCACGGGTCTCTGCTAGCCAAGGACTGCGGAGAGCGCCCTAATGCCAAGTGACTATTAAATTATTAGGCAAGTATTCAATCTTAGACACTTGGGGACACAACTCTTGAATATTGGCGTTCCTAAATTTTAAAAAATTCCAAACCCTTTCCTGATCTGTGTGCCACCCGTATAAAGGTCGTGTATGTGATCGTATATAATATATACTATACATGTATATACACAAAGTACTGCATTTGCTTTACCAAAAGCCTTGTGCCTTCCAGCTGGTTTACTTGCAGGCCACATAGCTATAATCTGTGGATGCTGCCTAAATGTAACACCTAGCAAATGTGCTGTTTTAGCTCACTAAGCCTCCAGTTTTTTGAAGTTTAAAATGAGTCAATATTGCAATGTGGCCAAGCAATAGGAACACACTGAACGATCGCTGGTCTTATCTACTGCTATCCTGTCATCCAGAGACTTACAGAAGCTGCTGAGCATTTCTGTTCCTGGTCCAAAAAGCAAGCGTGTCACCCGAGATAAGCCTTCTGTTCATGTATGGGTCACATCCCCGGCCCCAGTAAAAGCACCTTAGCCATTGCTCAAGAGGAATAGCAAGTAAGTACCTTTAATTTCGTGCTTTTGTCTCCAGTGTTTTATGGAAACTCAAGTAAAAATATTTTTCATTCAACCAGAATGTATTACCTGAGTTGGAAAGGTATCTTAACAGTGACCATGGATCCATACAGCTAATTTGTAATGTTTATATTAAGTTAGCACCTTCAAAACGGAATTTTGAGGCAGGCTACAAAAAGTTTTTAAGGCAGTTATTAAACAGAACAGCTTATTTTTTCAGAAAGAATGTTTCATCTAGCCCCAAACTGGATAAGTTATTTAATTTTCCACTTCCGTTTATTAGAATTGTTATGTTAAATCTGTTGCACAACATGGTGACTATGGTTAATGTATTCTTGAAGAAATGCTAATGGACATAAAGTGTGCTCACTGCAAAATGACAACAGTGCGGTAATGCGTTAAATAATTGGCTACATTTAGACATTCTATAGTATACAGAGAATTCGAAATATCATGTTATACACAGTTAATTCATACGATTTTGTCAGTATAAAGAAAACAAAAAAAATTTTATGAAAAATTCTAAAAGTCAACTCACAGGAAATGTGTATGAGTAGGTGAGTAGTTCATCAGCATAACAGTAATTAAGGTTCACACGTGGACTCCTCTCAGTGGACCATGAAATTCACAGTAATTAAGAATACAGTAATACAGGTGTTACTTATAGTCATCAGATATCATAAATAAACAGTACCGTTTATGATGCATGGAGGAAACCTTTACAAGGATGAGATCATCCTTTCCTAATAAGCATATTGTGACTGTAGTCATAGTTTTCCGAATCCTTTATCATTTGCCGCCAGACTTCTCCCTCATTCCTTGCCAGCCCCTTTGAAGTTCTCCCGTTTTATTAGTTGGAACCAAACCCTGAACGACTCTGTATGTTCAAAGCACCTGAAATTTGAGGAAGGGCTGTGTTTGGTTTTCATTAATTTGCAAAGCAGGAGAGACTCGTTAACTTTTGTTGTTAGTCTAAGTCTCGTATTTGGTTCTTACTTGATATTGGCACTGTACTTCTTTTTAGAGGGGAGGGAGGGAGAAGTATTCATCTACCTCCTGTTCTAGTGCCAAGCTTTGACCAAAGCTTTACAAAATTCTCAAGCAGCTGATTCATGATCTGTGCTCAGCCATATTCTTTGAGACTATGAAAGTGCAAATTTCCCCTGGGTTTTTTTTTTTTTTTTTACTATTTTGGATATTTTGATAGAACAGTATACAATTTAAACATTGAATAGAGTAGTTTTAAGTAGTATAAGGACTAAAATTTTTAGATACTTGAGAAATTTTATGTTTACAATTTTTAAAATTTTATGTTAAAATTATAAACATCTATTCAGTTTTACCTGTGGTTGCAAATGCTGAATGGAAGTGTGCTCTGAGCTATTTAAAATTTTTTCATTTATAGTTATTTTTTAAAAACCAATCCAACGATATACCAGTACATTTTCACTGTAATGTAGTATTCCTTTCATTAAACCAAAAAGGATCCATTCTACTGTTGATGGGCACTGAATTGTTTCTTTTCTTTTGCTGATATAATCATTCTTGTGCATATTTCCTAGTGTACAGGTGCACATTTCTCTGGCATATAACAAAAGTGGGATGGTTGTGTCATGAATATGCTTTACTGCTAATGCCAGACTCTGGCAGCACTATTACATCATCACTAGTGGTTGCTCCATATACTAATATTCACTAATAATTGGTATGACTATTCCTCAGTCTAGTATGAATGGAAAATAGTATTTTATTTATAGCATTACGTTGCATTTTTCTAACCAGGATAAACAATTATGTATGATACCTGGCCATTCAGTTTTGCTCATCTATGAAAGGTTTATGTTTATCACCCACTTTTCTGTGGTTATTTGGTATTTGCTTATGGATCCACAGGAATTCTTCCTGTATTCTGTGTCTTAACCCTTTGTCATTTATATGTATTGCAAATTTCATATTTCACTTTTTTTTGCTTCAGCCTGTTTCCCTTTCTTTCGGTTCATGTCACTTTTTCTATTTCATATCATTTTGTCCCTCTGGGTATGTCACAAAGGCTGTGTGAACAACTGTAAAGGTAATTACTGCCATCTTGCAATTTGCGTCTTTTGGGTACCTGCCAAAAATCAAGTAAAAGCAGATGACTGTTTAGAGACAGAGGACTGCAGTCTCTCTCAGCCACAGCTGAGGAATTCATGGCCATGGGCTTCTCAGCCTTTTCCTAATAACAGTATACTTTTGCTATTTTATTGTGAGATACTTTTAAAAATTTAATTGAGTTTATTGGTACAATTTAGGTTTACACAATAATCACATTCATCCTGGGAAATTTGTACCTGTACATCATGCATCTTGATTTTTTTTCTACTCTTTCCCCTCCCCTCCTTTCAATCCTTCTTCTCCTTCCTATTTACAAAGCTTTTTTTCCAGTTTATCCTTGTTTTCTCATTTTTTCCCTTCCTTCCTTCTTCTCTCTTCCGTCCCTAGTTCCCTTTTCCTTTTGAATAATTTCTTCTTATTTCACAATATCCATTGTACAATTTGATTCTTATTTATACTTTTAGCTTCTCATACCAGAGAGAAAATGCAATATTGACATGTGTGTCCAACTTACTTGACTTACGGGTCCATCAGTTTAGCAATAAATGTTTCATGTTTATCCTTTACGGTCAAGTAGTACTCCATTACATACATTAAAAAAATATTTTTTTTATCCATTTATTGGTTGATGGTTGTTTAAGTTTTTTACAATATTCCACAGCTATTACAAACTGTACCACTGTAAACATGGTGTGCATATATAACTATGGTATGATATTTTTAATTCTTCTGGGAAGATACCAAGGAGAGGAATAGCTGAGTCAAATACAACCTCTAGTCCTAGTTTTTTGAGGAATCTCCACATCGATTTCCACGGTGGTTGCACCAGTCTACATTCCTACCAACAGTGGAAAAGGATTCCTTTTTCCCCATAGCCCTGGTAGCATTTGTTATTGGTTGATTTTTTTGGTGATAACCATTCTTCCTGCAGTGAGGTGGAATCTCAGTTTTGTTTTAATTTGCATTTCTCAAATGACTAGTGATTTTGAACATTTTTTCATACATTTATTTGCCACTTGTACATCTTCATCGAAGAAGTGTATATTCATGTCGGGTGCCCAATTTTGAGATTGGGTTTTTGAATTTAGGGGATCTGATTTTTTTTCTCTTCTTTCTATATTTTGGGTATTAGTCCTTTGTCTGAGGAGCAACTGACTAAATTTTATTCCCACTCTGTGGATTATCTTTTCACTGTATTGATGATTTCATTTGTTGTACAAAAGCTTTTTAATAAGATAAGATCCCAGTTGTTGATTCTGTGTAGTGTTTCCCATGCAATCTGGGTTTTATTCATGAAGTCTTTGCATATATCTATGTCTTGAAGAGTTTTACCTATTTTTTTTCCAGCAGATTTAGTGTTTCTGTTTTAATTATTTAGATCTTTGATCCATTTTTAGTTTAGTGCATGGTAGTAGCCATGGGTCTAGTTTTAGTCTTTGGCATGTGGAAAGCCAGGTTTTCCAGCACCATTTGTTAAAGAGGCTATCTTCATTCCAGTGAACAAGTTTGGCCTGCTTGTTAAAGATAAAATGACTGAGTGATGCATTTGGAGTTGTTTCTTCATTTTCTAATCTGTTCCATTGATCCTTGGGTCTGGTTTTTGCCAATGCCATGCTGTTTTTAATCACAGTAGTTCTGTAATAGAACTTCAAGTTAGGATTGCAATGCCCCCTGCCTTGCATTTTTTGCCCACACTTGTTTTGTTATTCTAGGTCTCTCCTGGTTCCAAATGAATTTTTGGATTGTTTTCTCTAGTTCTGTGAGGTATGCTAATGGTATTTTGATTGGGATTGCATTAAATCTGTATAGCAGTTTTAGGAATGCAGCCATTTTCACTATGTTGATTCTTCCTACTCAAAAGCAAGAGATAGCTTTCCATTTTCTGATATCTTACTCAGTCTCCTTTTTGAGAGTACTGTAGTTTTCAATGTAGAGCTCTTTTACTTCCTTTATTAGATTGATTCCTAAGTATTTCATTTTTCAGGATGCTATTGTGAAAGGTATTGTTTCCCTAATTTTGTCCTCAGTGATTTTGTTATTTGTGTACTATTGATTTTTTAGTGTTGATTGTCTATCCAGCTGTATGACTGTGTTTGGTTATTAAATCGAGAAGTCTTTTGGTGGACTTATTGGAGTCTTCTACATAAAGGTATCATGCCATCTGCAAATAATGATAATTTCACTTCTTTCTTTCCTCTCCTTATTCCTTTTCTCTTTCTTGTCTTGTTGTACGGGTTAATGTTTCCAGACCAGTGGTGATGCTGGACATCCTTGTCTTGCTCCTTACTTTAGAATGAAAGCTTTCTGTTTTTGACCATTTAGTATGTAAGATATTGGCTGTTGATTTGTCATAATGACTTTCCTCAGATTGAGATAGAGACCTCTATTTCAGTTTTCTATGGGGTTTTTATGACAAATGGGTATTGGAGTTTATCAGAAGCTTTTTCAGCATTTCAGATAATCGTGTGAGTTTTGGTTTTAGTTCTGTTGATGTTACATTTATTGATTTGCATACATTGAACCATCCCTGACTTCCTGGTATGACTCCCACTTGGTCATGGTGTATAATCTTCTTGATGATTTGCTGCATTCTGTTTGCATTCTGAAAATTTTTGCATCTCTGTTCATTAGGGAGATTGACCTGTAGTTCTCTTTTTTGGTTGTAATTCTCTGGTTCTGATGTCAGGGTAATACCTCTAGGAATGAGGTAGGGAGTACTACTTCCTTTTCAATTTCATTAAAGAGTTTGAAGAGTAATGGCATTAGTTCTCCTCCAAATTTCTTGTAGAATTCAGCAGTGAATCAATCTGGACCTGGGCTTTTCTTTGTTTGTATGTTTTTAAGTACATTTTCAATTTCATTAACTTATACTGAGATATTTATCTGTTTCTGGAATATTAATACACTTTGTAGAGCTGATTTGGCAGTAATGAATTTCTGTAGTTGTTCTTTGTCATCAAGGTATCTTCATAAATTTTGAAAAATAGTTTTGCAGGGTACATCCATCTGAGTTGGAATTTTTTTTCTTTCAGGACTTGAAATACTTCAAGCTGTTCTAGACTTGAAGGTTTGTGTTGCGAAGTCTGCTGTGATTCTGATGGGCTTTCTTTACAGGTGATCTGCTTCTTTTCTCTAACAGCTTTTAATATTCTGTTCTTCTGCTGAATTTCTAGGGTCTTGATTATTATGTGCTTGGTGTAGATTTATTTTGGTCCTGGCTAATGGAGTTTTGTATGCCTTATTTATCTATATGTCAGGTTCTTTTTCCATGCTTGGGAAGTTTTCTGTCATTACATGTGTAAACAGTCTCTTATTCATTTATGCTGATTTCTGCTTTTTTTCATTGACTTCGATTAATCTTAAGTTGTTCTTTGCATCATCTTGCAACTGTTGAATTGTTTTTTCTAGTACCTTGTTATTTTTAAGAGATCTTCCCTTCCATGATCACTAGTTACGATATTGTGTTCTAAGTCTGATATTCTATTTTCACTTCGGTTCATGCAGTTTTGCAAAGTTTCAATGGAATTTTAAATTTCCTGCATATTTAATTTCCCAGTGTTGTTATACAAGAGGAACAACTGATTACAACAGGTATGTCATCCTGGCTAACGTAATATAATTAGCAATAACAATAGCATTAAGCATCGCTTAGAAACTGACAAACTGTGGTAATGAGTATTTGGTACCTTTAACTATAGGAGCAAGATCCACACTTATATAGCTAAACTGGAAGCTTGTAAGCAAAACATTTCCCCTTGGTATAGAGCTTTTACCCTGTGGTGGAAATTTAAGAGGGATAACAGTTAAAACAGAAATAAATGAAGAGAAATATAGTAGAAGCAAGGCTGGGAGACGAAGGATGATCACACAAGCTTTGGGAAAGTAGAGAAAAAGACAATGAATGAAGGAATAAGCAACAGATTTTTGAAGCTAGCCAGAAAGACTGAAGAGAATGTTCACTTACATGAAATTATTAAAGCAAGAGAGATAATGGAGGAAAGGGAGAAAGAAGACAAATATAAAATATAGGTTTAAAAAAAACCTCAAAAAGGAAAATGAAGCAAACTAGCAAAAAAAATAATACAAAATAATAAAAAATAAAATTCCCCTTGGGTCCACAGAAAGACCAAAACTACTAGGAAACTCTGTCTGATCTGCAGTAGAATTAATGCTGGATGTGGGGCTGATCTTGGTCTCCTGATGTGGAGCACTGGGGTCAGAGTCTTCACCTGGTACTTTCTGTATGCCCCTTGGTGACCACCTGTTCCTCACCCTATTTCTGTCTGCTAGTTGCTGTGCTGCCCTCAGACAGAGATAGGACTGCTCCCTGCACCACATACAGTCGGCTTTTCCTAGTCCTTGCAAGCCTCTTGTGTTCCTGCTTGTTGCAGGCTGGCCTGGGGTGCTGTGATGTGGGCTGGCCCTCTCCTGCAGCTGCTGTCCAAGGCTATGCATTCCCAATTCTGTCTCCTCTCCTGAGGGTAATGCTAACCTCCCACTCATCACTGTGTAGCAGCAGTAGTTTATCCCTTATCCCTCAAGCTACTGGTATTATATTTAAGGACCTCTCATAACTTCACTCCTCCTAATCCCACGTTTATTTTTCAGAATTCTGCCTTGCCACCTCAACGTCACCCTGATAAAATACCATCTCAAAACCAAAGTCACCTTCCTATCTACCTCACCTGGGTCCTTAAATATAATAGTGCCATGTCTCCTAATAACATTATGTCTCTTTGTTTTTCCAGTCTGACACACGTACATTCACCAGTAAAGTTGTCCTGGCTAAAACACCTGGCATCAGTGTCTACCTGGGCATCAACCTTCATCCCGTCAAACTCCCCTAGACCCCCAATACAGCGCCCTCAGCCAGCAGGAAGTAGTTACAGAGAGAGATCTTCGCCCCTTTTCCTAATAACCATAAGACGGGATATGAAAGAGTTGCTGGCCCAGATGGAACACTGTAACCAGAAAAGGCTGCAGCTAAACTCCTCCCCCCCCTACCCCCTATGGACTTGATTGTAACCCTATATCCCCATCCTTAAGAATCTGTGCGCCAATGAGATACCTGTGCATCTCTAATGGCCTTAGGGCGCTGCCCTAAGCTTAGGCTATTTAGATTCCCCCATGCCACGTGTCCGAGAGAGTTCGCCAGAGAGAGAGAGCTCGCCGGATTCCAGCGGCCAGCGCCGGCCAGCGCGCCAGTCTCCACTCCCCGTGTTCCCGGAGAGACCACCGGCCCCGGGTGCAGAGATGCTGCGCCCCGGGCCGGCGGCGGGGGGGCCCCCTCCCTGCATTCCCGGAATAAAGCCACCGCTGACCACTACTTTCACGGCCGTCTACTCCATTCCTCCCACGGACTTCGACCTCTCTCCCTCTCCCTCCCACCCTCCCCCTTCTCTCAGACCTAACAATACCAGGCACGAGGGGACATCTAGATATAAGCCATACCAGGCACAAGGGGACATCTAGATACAAGCCATACAGGAAACTTCAGCTCAGTTCTGATCTCATTAACCTACCCAGCCCATTCTTGGCAAAATCACTTTTGTTACTTTCTCTTATATATTATCTAATTTATTTTCTTCATAACTTATAGCATATGATTATATATTTATTAATCTTACCATCTGGAATATTTTCTTTTAGGGGCATAAACATTTCATAAAGTGCACATCACATAGTAGGTGTTCAAAAATATGTATCAAATGAACGGTCACCTCTAACAAGGAGGGAGAACTATGGAAGGAGAATCTGAGGATCCTTTGTTGTAAGTTTTTGTTATAGTTCTGCCATGGACAAGATTATCACCAGTAAGCACTCCTTGACAGTTCTGCCCTGCCTGTTTTTTCAAACATAAAGTCCTTTCAAAATAGATTAAGAGATACTTGTCCAGCAGTGTCTTAAAGATAAAATAGGTGGTCATTAGATGTTACCATGAAAATTTAAATTCTGTTATCTGTCACAAGCCTTTAGTTCTGTCATACAATAAAAGAATCGAAGGAATTGTGCTTATAAATCATAGTCCAGGTACCTACGGGGCTTTAAGGTTTCATGTGATAGACAGCCCCTCTCTATTGTCTACTCAGTGGAATGAGTGTGACTTATGCCATTGCATAAGGTGTCTCAAAGCCTGCTGTGGATATATTTTTATATTCCGTTCTCACACTCTTAAAGGGTATAGTGAAGAAGTAAAGTATAATGTAAAGGTCTCTTGGTCACTTTCAGACAAACAGGCTGAATATCTGTGCTGACAAATTATAATATGCATAAATTTTCTTCTATGTTAATTAGGGAAAAAAACTCTTTGACTGCCCAAAGTAATGACTGCTTCCTAGGCAATAAAGTGAAAGGAGCCCGCTCATATCCCCATGCTGGGACACTTGTCTGGTGAGGCCCCTGAGAGTGGGCCCAGTGAGGGCAAGCCCGGGGTGCAGCTGGGAGGCTGAAGACAGTGCAGATAATGAAACATTCAGGTGGTACTGAATTTGATCAGGAATAAAAGGATAGAGAAGCTTTAGTCTCTGTCCCTGAAATGTTGGCCTGAAATTTTGCCCTTAAGATTTGAAATTACACCTAGCGTTAGAGTGATTGGCGGGCCTTGAGAGTTTGCAGCTTAGAGCTGGGTAGCTTAGTGGTAGGTGCTGCTTAGCAAGTGTGAAGCCCTGAGTTGGATCCCCAGCCCTGAAATTTAAAAATCTCTTTACTCAAAGTAATAACTAACTATACTCTAGTACCTATGTTTTACATAGCTATAGGAAAATACATGCATTAATCCTAAGAAATCCAGACTGTTACATATCTCTGTGAGTTGAATTATAGCCAAAATAATGAAGACCACTTGCAAATTGTTATTTTTTCCTACGGGTAGGATGGATCTCGATGATGCTGTGCACAATCCTGAAGAAAAGGAATATTCTTCTGTCTCTGTCTGTGTTGGCAGAGAAGCAGACATTAAAAAGTCTAAAAGAATGACAGCTGTCGTACATGATAGAGAAGTGGTCATTTTCTACCACAAAGGAGAATATCATGCCATGGATATTCGCTGCTACCGTGAGCTTTCATTTTTCATCTGTAGAACTTGTGTTTTGTAGACACAAAACTATCAAAATTCATTTTTTTTAGTGACCAGATATAATACTCAATTCCTTTTCAGATTCAGGAGGACCTTTACATTTGGGAGAAATAGAGGTATGTAAAATTAAATTTATTCTAAACGAATATTATTTTATGTCATTCTTTATTTGAAAAGCTTATATTTGAATTTAACTGTATTTTAGTGCTTTGAATATAATTGCCAATATTCTAAGTATTCACAGCTCTATAAAGAATCATTTCATAGCAAAATATGAGAACTGTACAAGTCTTATTACCTAGCAGTTATATTGTCAGATATTGAACCTATGTATATAATTACACAAATGCTTTTCCATGTTTAAGAAAGGCTTATTGTAGCATTATTTATTATAATGAAAAATTGAAGGTAACCTAAATGTTTAAACAATAATAAATGGGAGGCTCAGTAGCTATGAAATTACTAAGACCTATGTTTGCTTGTATGGAGGAATGTTAACAATATATTTGTGAGTGATAAATCATACAATAGTAATTCTAGTTCTCATCTTTTAATTAAAGTATTTACCTTTTATATACCATGTGTATTGAATTTTTATAAGTATTTTATATAATGAAAATTTTTTTAAAAATGTTAAATAAAGAAACCATCTCGTTGCTGGGTGTGCCAGGCTGGACTGAAACTTTCAGTCTTTCTGGCTCAGCCTCCCCAAGTGCTAAGGTTACAGGCATTCATCACTTTGCCCAGCTGAGAAGCTTAACTGAGGAGGAAAAGGACAATTGCCTTTACTTCCTTGTATTCCAAATCTAGTTGCATAATGTTGGTTGTCTATCTTGCTCCATCTCTAAATATTGCAGAGTGCAAGCTTGAACTTAGCACTTCACTCTCTCTACACTTGATATCTACCTGGCTTCACGCCTGACCTCATGTTAAAGGACATATATGTGTTTAAATTATGAACATGTGAACACAGTTCATAATGTGTACAAATCAGGACTCCTGCATTTCTGGTGCAGAGGAAAAGTGTAAGCACCTGCCGATGATAGGGTCAGCAGAGTCCCCCAGTTTTAATCTACAGGAACTTTAAGACTTTGCTACTCACAGTGTGGCCTGCAGCCTAACAGCTTTGTTGTTCACGTTGCTTCTTAGACATGTAAGCTCTTGAGCCCCACTGTGAGCTCACTAAATTTAAGCAGGGGAGGGGGCACCTAAACAAAAGCACTGTACCCCATGTCCGTAAAGCTAGAGAAGAATTTCACTGAGAGTTAAAAGGAATGCTCTTCATTAACATCTGCATTTAGGCCGTTAGTAACACCTCTCCCAATCCCACAGTTCTTGCAGTAGCTAGTGAAAAGTGCTTCAGAGGCGCTAGAAGCCCTTCCACCATTTCTGTCGAGGAAGTAACATTAACATAGATAATAGCACGCCAGTCACATGGTACAATGGCCTGAGAGTGAGCTCTAACCCACTGGGCTTCTAATCCACTGTGGAGAGTGATGAGTGTTCTCATGTTAGGTGCTGCTTTATCCTGAATTATTTGTAAATGGGAAGAAAAAAGAAAAGCTAGCTAGTCTTTAATCTGGGTCTTTTGCAGTAGATTCTATAACTCTGTTTATCACCAAATGTCACAAGGCTATTAAGTCAGTTATTTTTCCCCCCGCAGGATTTTGATGGACGATCATGTATAGTCTGCCCTTGGCATAAATTCAAAATTACTTTGGCAACAGGAGAAGGGTTATACCAGTCTAAAAACCCTAAAGATCCATCAGCGAAACCCGAGTGGTGCTCCAAAGGAATAAAGCAAAGGATTCATAGAGTGACAGTGGAGAATGGGAATATTTATGTGACTCTTTCTAAGGAACCTTTTAAGTGTGACTCTGATTTTTATGCTACTGGAATTTACAAAGTAATTCGGAGTTCTTCTTGATAAATATGGCAGTGAAAAATGTTCATATTCTAAAATATTTTTGAATAATTTTGTTTCAATACCAAAGATGAATCTTTTCAACATAGGTACCAGTATTGCTTATTAAAACTCATCCAGGTCTTTGAAGTTTAATAGTACACCTACTGAGAATGTGTATCATTTCAAGGACTACCATGAGGGCTACAGAATACATTTCATCCACATTTCATCCAGTCCTCTGGATTGATTTGAACCTGGAGGTTACAGGTTTGGGATATTCAATTTAAGATGGGTTCAAGGAATGTAATCAAAATAAGTAACAGGTAAAAAGTATGATTTAGGAGGAGAAGTTTTTAATAGAAAAAGTCCCTTTTTGATGGAGCAGACCATCGTAGGGTATTTTGGTTTCGGGTTTTATTTTTGACAAAAGAATCTTGTTGTATAGTTCAAGCCAACTGTGAATTCACTTAAACTCAGGGTGATCCTCTTGTCTCAGCCTCCCATGTACTGCAATTACAGGTGTGCCTCTCTGTAACATTATTCTAGGAGGTTTAATATGCACAAAATAAAGAGAATGAAACAATCTCTGAAATTAAACAATTTACATTCCTTCATCCTTTTTCACTGATAATCTCCACAGATTCTGCCTCATTTGATTATTTTTACATTTTTAAAGGTAAGATTCAAGTTCATGAAAATATTCCTCTGCAGTGCAAAGTTTTTCCAAATACACAACAGACTTTTTACACTTAGAAATGCCTCCCTCAAAAGTGAATTTGTGTGCTGCACTTAAAAATAGGAAACTCACCAATGTGCCGGAGGACAGAAAAGCCCAGGTTCACTTTCTCCACGCAGGAGTCATCTGTCGTACAGGAAGCCTCCCACAGCTGCTGCCTGGCCACCAGACAGGTCTGCTCGGTGAACCCATGCACTTCACTTCTATGAAATCTTCCGATAGAAGTTTTGTTTTGTTTTAAAGAGAGAACTTTGTGTGTGCAGCTGTTTCCTGTAAATGTTATAGGGAGAGGCAATGGAGGAGTGTGTCCCCAGAGTTCACAGGCAGCTAACATTCCTTGGTTCACTTGGTTTTACCGTGCTGTCCCTTGTGGCCTAGCTGTGAAGTGTTTAGCATAACACCCTCAGTGTGAGCCACTCTGCACTGGGCAGGATGTGGTAGAATGCAGAGTAAATGGGGCCAGATAGGATGAGGACTGTTTGTTTAGAGTGGAGCCTGGTCTCCAGGTCTCCAGGCATAGTGATCGTCATGATTTAGGCTTGAATGAGAGGCCAGACCCAACACTTAACATTCTGAGGGCCCCATGGGCCTCTTTCCCCTGGTTATTATAAGAACAGTAAGTGACTAAGGCATGCAGCAAACTCTGGAAATGAAAGAAAGAAAAAGAAAAAGAAAGAGAGAGAGAGAGAGAGAAAGAAAATAAGAAAATTGCTGAGTGCCTGTGTGTGCCTGCCAGCCCAGCTACTTGCGAGTCGGAAGCAGAAGGATCACTTGACCCGGGAGCTCAAAGCCAGCTTGGGAAACACAACAAGATCCGTCTCTTAAAAGAACAAAGTCACATCTTGTTTCCATGTATATAAATCTTATCAGATTTGTAAATGTTTTGTTTTATAAGTTTACTGCTTCCGTGAATTGCAACTCCTCTGTAACTTTACAAGTAAGTAATAAAAAGCTCATAGGCAAACTCAAACTAAAATAAATGTCCATCTCCGATCTCTGAAAAAACATGTAGTATGTGGCGGGTGACCTTGTGGTGGCTGAAATCAAATGATGCGTGTTCTGGGGAGGAGAGTGAGAAGGGTAGGGTTCTTTCCATTCAGACTCACACTCCAAACAAGTCTTTAGGGTCTGGGGATTTAGCTCAGCGGCATAAGCGCCTGCCTTGCAAGCAGGCAGTCGTGAGTTCGATCCCCGGTACCAATTAAAAAGGAAAAAGACAAAAAAAAAAAAAAAAAAACAACAAGTCTTTAATAAAAGCATGAATTACAGATACGCTCAGGTTATAAACCACAGTGTAAAGTCAAACCCACCAGAGTGAATTTTCTAGCTCATGAAAAATACTGTATATATGGAGATTCCTCAAAAAGCTGGGATTGGAAGTCCCATTTGACCCAGCTATTCCACTTCTAGACGAACTGAAAGCATCATACCACAGTGATATATGTGCACACATGTTTATAGCAACACAATTTGTAACAGTCAGATCTTGGAAACAACCTAAGTATCCATCAATTGAGGAAGGGATTTAAAAAATTGTGGTATTTTTATACAACGGAGTACTACTCAGCTATAAAGAATGATCACATTGAGATATTTATAAGTGGGCGCAACTGAAGACCATACTTATAAGTGAAATAAATCAAACTCACATGTATAAATACCGAATAGTCTCCCTAGTGTAAGAAATGATAAAGAGTACAGAAGAGTTAGGGGCTGGGGATTTAGCTCAGCGGCATAAGCGCCTGTCTTGGAAGCAGGCAGTCGTGAGTTCGATCCCTAGTACCGATAAAAAGGAAAAAGACCAAAAAAAAAAAAAAAAAAAAAAAAAGTACAGAAGAGTTTATGGTAATCATGATTCCCCATTACATTGCTTTGAAGCCTTATAATGATTGCATTCATTAGTTGGAATGAATGTATCCTGGTTTGTATGATTTTATTAACTATGATGATATGAACAGCTATTTTGAAGAAAACAAGTTATTATAATAGCCAGTGCTGATTTAATATCATCTTACTCTGAAGTCCTACTATGCTTTTGCTCTTCCATTTCCATTGGTTCTATCATATTGTATCTTATTATGTGAGATAGTATAAACAAATTTTCTATGGAAAATGAAATAATATAGTAATATTGTTTGTTTTCAGTTATTTGGTTCTGAATGCCCTGTAATACTTTCATTCTCTTTAATGGTTTTATACTATTTTGTTATGTTTGATACTATTGTATATGAAGTTATGCTCAAGTATTTCAAAGAACAAGACAATATGGTAGTTACTGTTAATTACAGGTTGTCTTCTGGTGAAACACTATGTTGCTTACATGGTTCTGTTCTGATCTGCTTTGTTATGTCCTAATCTCTTTAAAATATGTTATGTCTTAATCTCTTTAAAATAAAAAAATAAATAAATTAAAAAATAGTGTATAGTCATATGTATGGTCTACATCAAGATTTTATTTTCTCTACCAAATAAGACTACAGAATGACATTTGGTAATAGTTTTAGTACTGGTCTCCCCCATTTTTATTAAAGCAGGGCCTACATATATGTATACTGATCTAGCTCTGTCAGATGAAATGTGTCCCTTAAATTGTAACTCTTAGCTCTCTCCAGGGTCATTTGTGTTCACATTTGCTCATTCACTTCAGCTGACTGGTCAAACACTGAATGTAAAACCTGGATCTTGTTACTCTGCTTATTAGCAGGCAGTTCAGGATGATACAAAGTGCCTGGCTTCTCTGGCAGGGACCTGTAAGGTTTTGCTTCGATTTCACCTTCAGGAAACATGGGCTGCGAGAACACTGGCTCTGAAAAGGCTTTTCTAGAATTTTCACTTTCTCTGTTTCGCTGTATGACTTCCTCTTCTTCACAAATATTCCTGGCCGCCACCAGCACAGCATTCATTAAGACTGCCTGTATAATGAGACACGTGTGTGAAAATGACTGTTTCCTTGAAGGTACAACCACAGAAGAAAAAAATCAATAAAATGTCAATCTACATATTCTCATAAACAAGAATTGCTGGCACATGATAGGCACTGGGAACCCGAGTCCTTATTCTGAGTGTCTCACACCACACTACAGCAAGCACTTTGAAATCTAGTGTGCTTTATAAAGATGTGCTTTACATATTTTTTCTCAGTTCATCTCATGTCACATTTATTGATTGGTTGATTGAAATAAGGTCTCACTATGCAGTTCAGGCTGGCCCTAAACATACTGATCCTCCTGCCTCAGCCTCCCAAGTGCTGGGATTACAGGCATGCACCACCACACCTGGCTTATAAAGATGTGCTTTACATCTTCTACAGTGCATCAGATGGTGCATGTCTTTTTATTGTTTTTTGAGAGAAATCTCCCTCTGCAGTTCAGGCTGGCCTTGAACTCCCTACGCAGTCCACACCCAGCACCTCTTCATTCTCCTGATTTTATTAAACGAAACATTTCTGGGAGATGGAATTCGTCCCCGAATACTTTTAGTATCTTAAAGTATGCTTTTTAACTTTTTCTCCTCCCTAGACTTTGCTTGTACTTGTGGATATGGACATAAGTATTTTGATAAGAATTTTGTAAATAGGCAGATCAGTGATTTCTCGTCAAACATGTGATCCACTTTCTCTCCAAAAATGCCAGTGTTTTAAGAAGAGGGTCAAAGCAATGCAGGAAAATAACTTCAGACCTCAGAGTCACTAAGAACTGTATTCACTAAACTCAGGATTCTGAGTTTGCTAATGATGATGATGACAGCAGGTATTTAAGGTAAGAAAAAATTCCACAAAACAGAAATCACCCCAATTTACAATAGAAGAGCCCCAGATGCCCCAATGGGTTATAGTTTACTTGAACAGGTGACAGCCTCAGGCGTGGAGAGCCTCCTGGGTTTCCTGCCCTCCCACCTGCCTCTCACCAGGGGCACAGCTGCTTCCCCTAACTTTCCTTGGCGAGTCTGTGGCCCTGTGACCCTGTGGCCGGTGCAGTCACAGAGATGTGTCTGCTGGGAAGCAGGTCAGGAAGGATTTCTGGAAAAGGGTTTCCTTCTCTATGAAGAGAAAACTTTTGGCCTCAATCTTTCTCCCCCTTCCAGAGCATAAGGCAACCACTCTACAGACTAAAACATTTTTAGGGGAAAAAAACAACAAGGAAAACTCATAGTATCTTAGTCTGTTCAGGCTGCTAATAACAAAATACCGTAACCTCAGTAGTCTTATTTCTCACAGTTGGAGAGGCTGGGAAATCCAAAGTTAAGGTAAAGGTAAAGGTGCTGCTTTGTAGTGCATCAGTGGCTCCTTTGAGCTGTGTCTGCACACGGCGGGAGGTCCAAGGAAGCTGGGAGCCTCTTTTATAAAGTCACTAATCCCATGCATGACCTTACAGAGGTGCCCTCTGTTAATGCCATCACTTTGAGGGTTGCTCAACGTAAGAATTTGGGGGGGACAGAAGCATTCAGATCATGGCACCTGGATTCTTGGTTGTGTTATACAGCCTCTAGGAGAAAAGTAGCAACTCTCTACCTCCATATTTAAATGTCACTAACCTATTTTTTGTTAACTTGCACCAGAATGCATCCTACATCCATATCTGTAACTACAAATAGTCTCATTCATTTAAGCTAAATATCATTTTCTATGCCACGCTGTGATAAAAATGTCAGAAAGTCTGGTCCCACTTCCATCATCTACAAAGTTATATTTGTGTCCATTCTGACCACCCTTAGCCAGTGTGGCGGACTGATTACTGGTGGTCAACGTATCACCCAAGCGGAACTGAGTCAGCGTGAAGCTGAGTGTGGATGGCCCACCTGAGGGCTGTTGTCATCATAAAAAGGAGAGCTATCAAGGAACAGGTGGTGTTGTTGGTCCTCCTAGGTGGGGTTAGTCCTCTTGGAGGAGTTTGTCAAGCTTCTTTACTGATATGAACTTGGCTGTTCTGAGCACCAGAGAAGCTTGGGGCCTCATTGTCACTGAGAATGGCTGTGGTTCACTTGAGGGGAGCTCCGATCTTTACCACTTCCTGGCTCTGGAGGGGAAGATACGTGCTGTTCAGTCTCCTGGAGAAGCTTGTCAGGCTGGCTTCCTGATATGAACTCGACTATTTTCATCATTGGAGGAGCTCAGAACCTCACTGTCGCGGAAGATGGCTGTGGTACTTTTCAGGGGAGCCCTGCTCCATTCTTTGAGCATTGCTTGCTGGCTCCAGTGCAGAACCCTCAACCTACAGGCACAAATCCTTCACCTCTCTGGCACATACTTTCTGGCTTCCTCCACTGACCTTTGGGCCTTCCCAGTGCAGATCCATGAAACAGACATGAGACATTGTCATGGGCTCTAGGTCTTCAGCTGAATTCATGCAGGATGTTGCCATGGGATCCAGGCCCTCAGCTGGATTTTTGGGGGTCTTTAGTGTATGGACAGATTTCCTGCACCTTTCCTGTTTGACTCTTAGGGTGACTATTATAAAATAGTTCTGTAACTTATGGGTCTTGTATTAAATTGTTTTCTTTGCAACCCCTGACTATAACACCAATCTCAGAAAATGAAGTCCTCATCAAAGGCAATATTCCTCTTAGGTTTTTTTATTTTTTTGTCCTAGCAATTCTCCATCTTTTCAGCCTCTCACTCTTGACTGGCTCTTGCCCTGCAGTCTATAAAGTGCATGAGTATTTTTCAGCCTAAATTAAAAATCCCCGAGACCCTGCTTCCTACTTGCTGGTTACACAGTTCTCTTTTCTTGATTAAGCCAGAGTCAGTGTTCTTGGTTTCCATTTTATCACCTCTGATTTATTGTGAAACCTGCTTATTTCTCATCTCCATATCCCAGCATGCCCCTGAAGTAGTTCTCGGGATGACTCACCTCACATCTTTGATCCTTGAATCCTCATTTTACTCAAATTTTTTTCTCTTCATATTTGACAACCTCCTGAGTCTCTTAGCTCCTTTGTACCATTTCTCTTGATTCTTTTTCTGCTTTTCTGATGGCTGCTTCTTGGTCTCCTTCATGGGGACCCCTTCTTGGCGCACCTTAAATGTTACCATTTGCCATGTTTCTGTCGCCCTAGGACTCTTTCACTTTACATGATTCCACTTGTAGGGCATTAACCTCCAGTATATATGATTTACTTTCTAAACCGTAATTGCAACCTTGACTCTTCCATACCCATACCAGATACAGATATTAAGTATCAAGTTACTGAAAGCTTCTACTGTCTACTTATAAAATTTATATTATTATAGATTATATGGGATAATCTCAATAGCTTTGAAAAATTAGTTTATTTTGATTCTCGTTTTGTTTTCTATATCCGTCTCATCCTACCCATTTTTTGAAGTGTATTTATATCCTAGCTCTACTGATAACAATTTTTAGATGAGGTTCATATTTAAGATGTTGGGCACTTCTCAAAAATTTAAAAAATTTGTACTTGCAAAATATTTGATCAATTCAGATTTTTAAAAAAGGTTTGAATTTTTTCAAAGATATCTTGCTATTATTGACCCTCTGCATTTCCCTGTACATTTTAGAATTAGCTAGTTCAGATGCATATATTTTTTAAAATTGTAATGCAAGAAATTTGATAAAAACACAAACTTGATTAAGAAAAATTTAGAAAGGCAAAATAAGTTGAAGTTTCATGGATGAGGAGGAGGACTTATTCTAGCAGCTATCAAGATATCATAGTAAATTTCTGTAATTAGTGCCGCACTGATGCAAGAATGGACAAACGACACTATAAACAGATCTAAGTCTACAGGACATGGTTTATGACAGTCCTTAGAATAACAGGAAAGGAGGGATACTCGTAGGGTAAATACTTGGCCATTACCTTGTGCCAGCTTCACCTCCTAAAAGTGGAGGGTAAAATTATGTAACTTCTAGAATATAACGTTTTCATGCCCTTGAGTACATCAAGATTTTTTAAGATACAAAAAGCACTTCACATAAAACAGCAAAATACATTGAAATTAAGAACTTTAAGACTGCGAAGAGAGCGAAAGGCATTGGATTTTAAAAAAAATTTATAGGCAACAAATGAATCTCAATGACAATGTCAAGCAAAAGCAGACAAACACAAAAGATACACACTGTACTACACAATTTCATTCACATGTGAGTCAGAGAGCCAAGCTACCTATGGTATTATAAGCCAGAGCAGTGGCTGCTTTACACAGGAGGTAGTGATTCTGAGGAGGCAAGAAAGTGGCTTTCTGAGGGCTGCACATGGTGGCTCATGCCTGTAATCCCAGCACTCGGGAGGCTGAGGCAGGAGGGTCGTAGGCCAACCTGAATTAGAGTGAGACCTAGACTCAAAAAAAAAGTGGCTTCTGGAATGAAATTTTGAATATTGACCCAGGGGTTTCATAGAGTAGTAGATTTTGTGATAATACATGAAGCTGTGTACTTTTATTTTTGTTATGTCACAGTTTTAAAAATGAAGTAAAATGGCTGTTAACAGAAAATAAAGCCCTTATTAATTATAAGTTGTTTACATTTCGCCACACACAGTACTTACACTCAAAATACTGTATTCATGAATAATTGTGCTCCCAGAATAATGCAACCCTGAACCTCAGCCTACGTGAGATAGTGGCTGGAACAAAGCAGCTGCAGCTCATGAAAGCAAACAGCGAGATGTTCTGACCAAGAGTCTTCAAAGAGCGATAAACTTTATAAAAATGAAATAATTTTAGTTACTAAGCAACCTGGGTTTTGGTGAATGATCTGGCTCCTTGGAACATACTGCTCTAATATGAAATTATTTTGCATAACAGGAGAATGGTATCTTAGGTTGTGAATAGTATCATTAAAGACAACCTGTAAATAGTACCCTGTATTAAAATATATATACTTATTTCCAGAATCTAATATTTCTCTTAACTTACCAAATAGATTAGTGCCGCATATGAAGCATACATCATGGCAGTTAAAGCAGTCTTTGCTGGAATAGAAATGATTTCAAAGAAAGAACTTCTTCTGGCCTGCAAAAAACACAAAAGGTTTTCTTACTCAAACAAAAACGTTCAGTGCTTCAATAGTATGTTCTACAGGGTTGCCGTAAAATGAGAATTTAAAATTTTTTCCCTAAAGGAAGTTATCTACATTACATCTGGGCTTTTTCACATCATGAAAATGTACTTGTTTACTTTTTTTCTTTTCATAAGGAGATTCTGTGCTATCATTTATTAGTTAAAACTGTGACAAAAATATAAAATATTTCATTCTGAAATCTAAACTTGATTCTAAACTGTGCTCGTTAGGAAGTACTGCTGAGCACCTTGGCAAAACATTCTTTTCTTTGTTAAAATTCATGTAGTCATTCTTCACTAAATTATTCACCGCCTCAATTAAGTAAACAGTCACCGGAATACTAAGCATTTCCTGGAGATGGAAGATGTGTTTGGAAATGTCAGTCAGGAGACTCCCAGAGGCCAGCTCGGACTTCAGATAATCAGATCATTAAACTCCAGGAAACGCTCAGAGCAGAGAAGGTTTATACCAATAATGAATGAGCCTCTCAGTGCTTCTGGAATAGGTGTTCCTGCCACAAGCCTAGCTATATAATGGGCAGTTTAAAGGAACTGTACTGTCTTATGGATCCCTCTGTCGCCTTGGGCAAGATGTAAAAGGAGGACATTAGGCAAAAACTCCTGGCCCTCCCACCCAGCAAGGAAGTGACAGCCGCACTCCTCTGAGGTAAAAACCAGTCCACTTGGTGGCTTTGATGAATTTCCAAATGATACAGGATGCAGCTAATAAAACTACGTAAATGTGCAGCAGACAGTGTAAACATGCCAAAGAACAATGTATGTATGTTCATGAAGTTCTAGCTCAGTGGAGAGTGTTTACCTAGCTGTGCAAGGCCCTAAGTTAGATTCCCAGTACCATTAAAAAAAAAAAAAAAAAAACTACAACATTGAGAGGATTGAAGCAGTCAGTAACAGAATGGTTAGGAAAATTATACTATAGCTACCCCCAAATAAATTATGCAGTCTTTTAAAAAGTGTTTGTGATGGACATGTGATAACAGTCTATTAAACAAGCACACAGGACACTGTGTAACAGGGGCTGTTTTGTGTGCTTGGTGAGCAGGGTGTGGTGGCACCCTGCTGTGGCCCCAGCTACACCAGGAGGCTGAGGTAGAAAAATGCTTAAGCCAGGGATTCAAGATCAGTCTGCACATGATAAACCAGCCTCATCAAAAAGAGGAAAGAAAATAACACAAATTCAAGCAGTTAGAAATGAAAAGGAGGAAATCACAACAAACCCCACAGAAATTCAGGAACTCATCAATACCTACCATGAGAACCTAAATTAATAATGTGGAAAACATCGAGGAAATGGACAGATTCCTAGACAAGCTCGAATTGCCAAAATGAAATCAAGAAACAAAAATTCTAAATAACTTGATTTCAGCCAATGAAATAGAAAATTAATTTAAAACTTACTAACAAAGAAAAGCCCAGATGGATTCACTGTTGAATTCTACAAGAAATTTAGAGAAGAACTAATGCCACTAATTTCAATTTCTTCACAGAAATTGAAAGGGAAGCAGTGCTTCCAAAAACATTCCTGGAAGCAAACATTACCCTAATTCCAAAACCAGAGAAGAACCTAGTGAAAAGAGAAAACTATAGGTCAATCTCCCTAATGAACACAGATGCAAAAATCCTTAATAAGATACTGACACACAGAATGCCAAAAATCGTCAAGAAGATCACACACCACGACCAAGCAGGATTCACCCCGGGGATGCAGGGATGGTTCAACATACGTAAATCAATAAATGTAACCCACTATATTAACAAAACTAAAGACAAAAATTATATGCTCTTCTCAATAGACACAGAAAAGGCATTTGGCAAAGTCCAACACCCATTCATGATAAAAATCCTACAAAAAATTGGAATAGATGGTCTTTACCTCAATCTTATAAAAGCCATTTTTAACAAACCAACTGCCAACCTCATATTAAATAGTCCAAAACTGAAAGCTTTCACTCTAAAATCAAAGACAAGAGAAAGATGTCCACTATCACCACGCCCTCTTCAACATGGTTCTGGAAAAATTAACCAGAGCAATTAGACAAGAGAAAAAAATAAAAGAAATAAAGGTAGGAAAGGAAGAAGTTAAATTATCATTATTTTCAGATGAGATGATACTCTACGTAAAAGACCCCAAAAACTCTACCAAAAAAACACACAGATTTAATGTACAAGTTCAGTAGTGTAGAGGAATACAAAGTCAACACTCAAAGTCATAGCATTCTTATACACAAGCAACAAACTCACAGAGAGACAGATTAGGGAGACAATATCCTTCACAATAACATCTAAAAAATGAAATACTGAGAAATCAGTTTAACAAAGGATGTAAAAGATCTGTACAATAAAAATTACAGCACCCTCAAAAAAGGAGATTGAAGAAAACATCATAAAATGGAAAGATATCCCTTGCTCTTGGATAGGAAGAACCAATACAATGAAAATGGCCCTACTTCCAAAACTGCTAGCAGATTTAATGCAGCCCCAATCAAAATACCATCAGCATATCTCACAGATCTAGAGAAAATATTTCTAAAATTCATTTGGAACCAGAAATGACCTACAATCTAAAAGCAATTCTGGGCAACAAAGGCAAGTCAGGGGGCATCACAATCCCAGATCTGAAATTATCCTATAAAGCTACTATGATAAAATCAGTCATGTTTGCCAAAAAGCAGGCCTGAAGATGAGTGGAACAGAACAGAAGTTTCAGCCGTACACACTCAGCCACTTATCTCTGACAAAGGGGCCAAATATGTTCACTGGAAGAACGATAGTCTTTCGTAAGTAGTGCTGGGAAAACTGGCTCTCCATATGCCGAAGACTAAAACTAGACCCATGTCTGCAACCATGCACTAAACTAAAGTCAAAGTGGAACAAAGATCTAAATATTAAAATAGAAACACTAAATTTAGTGAAACACAAATCTTGAAGACATAGGTATAGGCAGAGACTTCACAAACAAAACCCAGACTGTAAGGAAATATTATAAAGAATCACCAATTGGGATCTCACCTTATTAAAAAGCTTTTGCACAAAAAAAGAAATCATCAACAGGTGAAAAGACAACCCACAGAGTGGGAATGAATTATAGCCAGTTGTCCCACAGATGAAAGACTTATATCTAGAACATAGAAAAAATTGAAAATACTCACACTTCCCAAATTCAAAGACCCAATCCAAAAAATGGGTATCTGAGATGAATATACACTTCTTACATGAAGAACTATAAATACATGAAAAAATATTCAACATCATTTGTCATTCAAGATGCAAATTAAAACAACACTGAGATTCCATCTTACTGTAGAAAGAATGGCTATCTTTACATGCTGGAGGGCTGAGGGAAAGAGGAACCCTTCTTCACTGTTGTACAATGAAATGTAGACTGGTGGGAATGTAGACTGGTGTGACCAATGTGGAAATCAATATGGAGATTCCTTAAAAAGCTAGAATTAGAAGTCCCATTTGACTAAGGTAATTCCCTTCTGGATATCTTCCCAGAAGAATTAAAAACATCATACCACACTGATATATGCATACCCATGTTTATAGCTGTACAATTTATAATAGTAGAACAGCTGAAAAATGGATAAAAATGCAATTTTTCCCTATAATGGAGTACTACCCAGTAATAAAGAAGGATAAACTTGAGGATTTTATAGGTAGATGGATACAACTCGAGACCATATTCATAATGAAATAAGTCAGATCCTTATGTGTAAACATCATATTGTTTCACTAATGTGAGAAACTGAACAAGTAAATATGACCCAAAATATACAATAAATATTGGGAATTGGGAAGAAACTGTTCAAAAGAAAAGACAAACTGTGATGGGGGAAAGGGGAATGGAAGAAACAGAAAAATAAAAAAAGTGTATCCATTAGATAAGATAGTTACACAGCCAGTTTCTCTTAGTTCACTGAAAAGAAAGGTTTGTGCTAATATTGTCTGGACAAAATATGCCTGTATCTTGTATTCTGAGTACTATGAAGACAACAATGTGCAATGCGTTAATTATTGTAACTGGCTTACTGATCTGTTTTGAAACTGTTATTTTTATCTTTTTTCTCATTAAGAGACAATTGTTGATAACCTTGTACTCTGTTCTACATCATGTGCTATGTCTATCCTTGGTTTTGACTGACAGCTTTGTTTTGCCATATTTGACTTTATTCTCTCCCCCCCCAAAAAAGTAATAAGAACTAAGGAGTAATAAAATCCAAAATGTGTAAATTTTGTTGTAAAAAAGAGAGGGGGGAAAAAAAAGAGCTCTAACGGATATAACAGCAAGTGTGTTTAGGGGTGTTAAATAGCTGACTATATTAATGTTTTTGGATCATTGAACACAGCTGTTTGCAGTCTCTCTGTTTGAATGTCCACTTTGTAATCTTTGATACTGTGATTTGAGCAACTATTTCCAAGATGATAATATGTAATCTATTAACAGGTGATTTCTTACTGTTATGTTTTTTTTTTGTAGTTCTGTATTATGTGTACCCTTACACCGCTTTGTTTTGTTTTGTGTTTTTCTCTTTTTCCTCTTAAATAAAATTTAAAAAAAAAAGAAAAAATCAGCGTGGACAATGTAGCAAGACCCCATCTTAAACCACCACCACCACCACAAAACTGTGTTTTAATAAAATGTTCTGTTTAATCCTTACTCACTGAAGTTAGTATGACTATGATCCCCATTCTATAAAAAGGAAAAAGGGAAGAGGTAGCACTGGTGATAGAGCGGGGAAACTGTCAAGTTAGTTTTGAACCAGGAATCCTACTCCAGAGCCCAAACACTTAATGTGAGACGTAAACTGCTGTCTTGGAACACCATGCTTGTGAATAGCTTGTGAAAGACAGTATTGTAATAGCTTGTATTTATTCTTAGGTTTGCTGGGAAGTAAAGAAAGAAAATGCTTATAAAATGCTAAGCAGAA